GTGGAGAAACAAAAACCCAATTCTGATATTCCATTCAAAACTCCAAAAATGCACTGGACAAAATTATTGCACAGCCATTCACTGGAAATGTCAGTGTACTGCTATTTCTCCACCCCAGCTCTCTAAACCCCTCATGCATCCAAGAACAAAGATTACCTGATCACTTATAAAAAAAGAACTGAATAGGTTGTTTTACAAGGTAAGGAATTACATATACTTTAAGCTCTTAAATTATAGTCTTCTCAAACGCAGCGCGGAGAAAAACATTAATAACTAATTTATCAGCAAAGAAAGCATCTCACGAAAGTACTGGCTACACTTCAGTATGGAAACATTGCCACATAAATAGGGATGTAGGAACCTAACCAGGGGCGGACTGACCATTTAAGCACTCGGGCACTGCCCGAAGGCCCGGGGTCAGTAGGGGGCCCCATGAGATGCCCCTGGTACCTTTCATTGGCTTTTTCATAGGTTTTTTTTTGGGTGTGGGCCAGGATACAGGGGCCCCATGATCCCCTATTGCCCAAGGGCCCCATGAGTTGTCAGTCCACCCCTGAACCTAACTATATCAAGTGTTTGGGTGCTGGAACCCAAACACTGGCAGGCTGAAGTCAATGTAAAGAATGATTACAAGCAGATGATTTCAAATTCCATCTTCTAACCAGTTCACAACAATAAAAACAGTGGCATTAAAAAGTCACTGTCACCAATCCATTTCTATTAAGCTAAATATCTCACATTAATGCACTCACATAAGCATATGTAAGACTGTATTCATTTGCAGATTATTTGCCCTATTGAGCTGAAAATTTCAGTTTTTTTTTTAATCCCTGGCAATGTCAGGAGAAATGTCACTCTGCATTCCAGACACACATGCAGTCCCCCTCCTTAGCTCTGTTATCAGCCCAGGTCCTACCAGGGTCTAGGGAAGTAGACACTGTCATTACAGATTACGTTAGGCTTCCCTTGCTCCAGCCTGGATGTTGACTGATGTCAGAGCCAGGGAGGTAAAGGATCAGCAGTGTGTGTGTGCGAGACCTTTCTTCCACTACTGCCAGAGTTGAAAAAAAACAAAACAAAACAGAAGTTCTCCTTTCTGGTCATTTGAACAAAAAATATGCAAACAAATGTCAACTAAAATACTGTATGAAAACTATGAAAAATGTGTACACCACACATTAAATAAATTAAACTATTATTGGGAGCTATGCTCACACCAAATATGTATTTCACACCATCCACACAAAATGAAATTATAAATCAAAACAGAATTTGTGCAGCGTTTAACATAAATACTAATCAATCAAAAAATTGCATGGAACCCAATCTATTACTTATTCCGTGTAATAAATCAAAGAAATTCATTAATAAATCTATATGTATACAAGTACCACAATGCCTTTATCCATTCAATAATAAGTGAAGCAAAAATGGTGTTCATAAACGAAAACAATCCAAAAAAACTACTGTGATCAATTAGTGTCCATAGCACATCCAATCAAGGTGATTGTGTTAAAAAATAAACAGTTCAAAATTAATTCCCTGATCAAAAAGTGTCCATAACAACACATCAATCATGCGATGGTGATTAATTTTTCTCTTCTTCAAATCAACACTTTAATGCTTCAACCACCTGCACCTGTGTTTGTTCAAATTAAAGGCTTACCCTTCTGGATAGACCTCTTACACTACAAGAGGTCAGACACAGCATGATGAAGATAGCACTACTTCCCCACTAGTGGATGAAATGTAATGGAGTATTTCCCACCTCTCTCCTCCAGCAACACCACTTCCTCTTCACTTTCTTTATTTAATAGTGATCAATATTCCTCATAAATAAAACAAACAGCGGCATATAGTGCTCTCCATTTGAAGTAACATTAATTAATTTACTTAGAATCTTGTAGGCAGGTGCAGTTAATCTGTGCCTTTACTACTTGGGAAGAGGAGTCTCATAGGGGAATTGTACCCTTAGGGATTCTAAATGGACACAAATTCTCAAGAGACTTTTGTGGCCATTTTATGTCAGAGAACCTCTTAAATAAGGGAACCCAGGTCAATTTTGTGACAAAATCGAGTGATATTATATGAAGTATGAGAGAGAAGTGACGCCAAACAAAAAACAGACTATTAAATTAATCTACAAAGATACATAATACATACTGTAATACTGGTTCTTTTTCAGTGGCTTCTTCTTGGACATATAATATATACAACGTAGAAATGGTCATGGCACTAAAAAAACAAATTATGGTCAGTGAAATCATCATATTAATAATATTTAGTCTAATAACTCTTAATACTGCTAAGGTTAAATAAAAAGAGACTGGGCGACCATGGGGTGGTTGAGGGTCACACCCAAGAAAATGTCATAGTGCCACATCCAAATTGAAGAATAATTATATGGAAAATTGCTAATGAACTTTTTAGGCACATAAACTCCGTACACAGACGATAAAAGCAATTGTTACTTTATTGACATATCATATCTAAAATATATCTTTTGTATATTTACAATTGCCTTGCACATTAAATCACAGCATGTTTCCCCGCATCAATTAGAAAAATTATAGGCTTCCTCAGTGAAAGTTTGGTAAAGATGGTAGACACAATCCACTTCCTTCAAAAAGAGGGAACTATCCAAGCTGTGTATATGAAGCCCAACATGCTTCGCGACTTAAGTCGCTTCTTCAGGAGCTAGAAATGCATCTAAAAAAATGAACAAACCTGATAGTAATGATTGTAAAGTCAAATAGGAATACCAATACAACATGGGTAACACCTATCAAGCACGAACATGGAATGTAAACATTGTGTATTGTGTGATGAAAGACTTTCCAATGCAGCAACACAGGTCCCCCTAGCCGACCAGAGCAGAAACCCCACGGTGGATGTGGGGGCACATCAATTGGGCAATAGGCAAACAGAGACACCCCGCAGGAATCAGACATTCAGCAGGAAAATAAAGAATCAGAGGTATAAGGCAACATTGGGCATCAAAATCGTAGTTATCCAACTAATGAAGCATAGTGATGGAGGACAAATTAGGCCTAAAAAAAGATCAAAGTATAAAAAGGTAGTTAGTGGTGCCTTGTAATAGGCAACCCATCTATAAATTGAATAACAATTCAAAGCAATTACAAAAAATGACCTCTGAATGATACAACACATTCACTGTATAGGCCTGAAAGGGCACATGTGGACAACCACTACACATGAAGAGACAAACCCACAAATTCAGAATATATCACCTCCACTATAAGGCATAAGGACTGATTGGACTGAAAGAAATGGGCATATCCCAGATCGAAAGACTCCCCTCTCAGATAATCTCCCCCCCCCCCCCCCACAGAAAACATATACCCATCATTGCAACTACTAAAAGAGCACAACTATAACTACTTATGCTATAACCGAAGGGAAGACCCATCAGTCTAGAGGAGCCACAAAGATGCCTCCGTGGGGTTCCAGGAGTCCTAAGGGGTTTGTCCTCCTAGGCCTCCAAACCCCCTGTGGCGATGCAATATTATGCAATTTATAGATGGGTTGCCTATTACAAGGTACCACTAACTACCTTTTTATACTTTGGTCTTTTTACAGGCCTAATTTGTCCTCCATCACTATACTTAATTAGTTGAGTTGAATAACTACGATGATGATGCCCAATGTCACCTTATAGCTCTGATTCTTTATTTTCCTGCCGAATGTCTATGAGTCCTGTAGGGTGTCTCTGTTTGCCTATTGCCCAATTGATGTGCCCCCAAACCCACAGTGGGGTTTCTTCTCTGGTCAGCTGGGGGGACTTGTGTTGCTGCATTGGGGAGTCCTTCATCACACAATACACACCGTTTACCTTCCATGTAAGTGCCTGGTAGGTGGCACCCATGCTGTATTGGTATTCTTGTTTGACTTTACAATCATTGCTATCAAGTTTGTTAATTTTTTAGATGCATTGTTAGCTCCTGAGAAAGCGACTTCAGTCACGAAACATGTTGGGCTTCATCTACACAGCTTGGATATTCCCCTCTTTTTTTGAAGGAAGTGGATTGTGTCTACCATCTTTACCAAACTTCCATTGAGGAAATCTATAATTTTTCTAATTGATGGGGGAAAACATGCTGTGATTGCATGTGCAATGATATTTTAAATACATGAAAGATATATTTTAGATATGATATGTCAATAAAGTAACAATTGCTTTTATCATCTGTGTACTGAATTTATGTGCCTAAAAAGTCCTTTAGCAATTTTCGATATAACAACTCTTAATACTTATTACTATAACATTTTGAAATATGTAGTTCAATAAACATGCAAAGGAAAAAATAGAAGTGAGCGCTGGCTTAATGTGTAACAATACCATCTAGTACAAAAAAATTATAGTGCAATGACATAATATAATGACTGCAACAGAACAATACCATCTAGTACAGTGGGGATCGAAAGTTTGGGCACCTCAGCTAAAAATTTGTATTAATGTGCATAACGAAGCCAAGGAAAGATGGACAAATCTCCAAAAGGCATCAAATTACAGATTAGACATTCTTATAATATGTCAACAAAAGTTAGATTTTATTTCCATCATTTACACTTTCAAAATAACAGAAAACAAAAAAATGGCGTCTGCTAAAGTTTGGGCACCCTGCAGAATTTATAGCATGCACTGCCCCCTTTGCAAAGTTGAGACCTGCCAGTGTCATGGATTGTTCTCAATCATCGTCTGGGAAGACCAGATGATGTCAATCTCAAAGGTTTTAAATGCCCAGACTCATCTGACCTTGCCCCAACAATCAGCACCATGGGTTCTTCTAAGCAGTTGTCTAGAAAACTGAAACTGAAAATAGTTGACGCTCACAAAACTGGAGAAGGCTATAAGAAGATAGCAAAGTGTTTTCAGATGTCAATATCCTCTGTTCGGAATGTAATTAAGAAATGGCAGTCATCAGGAACAGTTGAAGTTAACCTCCCTGGCGGTTTTCCCAAGTGTAGCTCAGGGTAGAATGTCTATACCACAAGCGGTAACCCCGAGCTACACTCGGGCTTACCATGCGGCGCTGCTCTGGGGGTCCCTGCAGCACTTACCTTGTCCTTCGCTCCCGCGATGTGTCCCCTGCAGCTTCCCCGGCCATCTCCTCCGGCCGATGCCGGCATCCGACTTCTGTGTTCTGGTCCCCGTGACGTCGGGACGTACGGGCGCCGCCGCCGGCGGGAAATTTAAAAAATTTAAAAAATGTCATTTTTTTTTTTTCAATTTTAAATAGTAAAACATTGCTGTTTCATCCCATTTCACATACATATTGTCCCTAGTGCTTTGTCCTGTGCCCTGCCTGCATTTTGTCTGTTCTTTCTGCCTGGAAACTTAGAAAAGTCCATGGCGTCCAAAAAGCGTCCCTTTACGTCAAAAGCGGTTTTAGACCGGCTAGAGAACAGTGATAGTAAATCAGAACCACTTACAGAATTGAGTGATAATGATTTGTGGGGAAATTTTCCTAAAAATTACAGCCTACAATAAAAAACTATTTCCATGCGAAAAAATGGTACCGCTTTCAGCACAAAAAATCGGAAGGAATCATACCGCTAGGGAGGTTAAAGCAAGATCTGGAAGACCAAGAAAAATATCAGACAGAACAGCTCGCAGGATTGTGAGAAAAACAATTCAAAACCCACGTTTGACTGCACGATCCCTCCAGAAAGATCTAGCAGACACTGGATTTGTGGTACACTATTCCACTATAAGAGATACTTGTATAAAAATGGTCTTCATGGAAGAGTCATCAGAAGAAAACTGCTTCTACGTCCTCACCACAAAAATCATCGTTTGAACTTTGCAACTGAACATATAGACAAGCCTGATGCATTTTGGAAACAAGTTCTGTGGACCGATGAGGTTAAAATTGAACTTTTTGCCCGGAATGAGCAAAGGTACGTTTGGAGAAGAAGGGGCACAGAATTTAATGAAAAGAACCTGTGTCCAACTGTTAAGCATGGGGTTGGATCAATCATGCTTTGGGGTTGTGTTGCAGCCAGTGGCACAGGGAACATCTCACGAGTAGAAGGAAAAATGGATTCAATAAAATTTCAGCAAATTTTCGATGGTAACTTGATGCCATCTGTGAAAAAGCTGAAGTTAAACAGAGGATGGCTTCTACAAATGGATAATGATCCTAAACACACCTCGAAATCCACGGGGGATTACATCAAGAGGCGTAAACTGAAGGTTTTACCATGGCCTTCACAATCTCCTGACCTCAACATAATTGAAAATCTATGGATAGACCTTAAAAGAGCAGTGCGTGACAGACAGCCCAGAAATCTCAAAGAACTGGAAGACTTTTGTAAAGAAGAATGGGCAAAGATACCTCAAACAAGAATTGAAAGACTCTTGGCTGGCTACAAAAAGCGTTTACAAGCTGTGATACTTGCCAAAGGGGGCAGTACAAGATATTAACTCTGCAGGGTGCCCAAACTTTTGCAGACGCCATTTTTTTGTTTTCTGTTATTTTGAAAGTGTAAATGATGGAAATAAAATCTAACTTTTGTTGACATATTATAAGAATGTCTAATCTGTAATTTGATGCCTTTTGGAGATTTTTCCGTCTTTCCTTGGCTTCTTTATGCACATTAATACAAATTTTTAGCTGGGGTGCCCAAACTTTCGATCCCCACTGTACTAAATAATTATAGTGCAATGAAATATTATAGTGACTGCAACAAAAAGTCCAAACACTAAGGAGTTTATTTACTAAACCTGGTTGACTCAGAATCTTGGGCACCTGTGCATGGTAGCCAATCAGCTTCTAACCTCAGCATGTTCAGTTAAGCTTCAGCAATAAAACTTGGAAGCTGATTGGTTTTTATGCAGAAGTGGACAAGATTCTGAGTCAACCAGGTTTAGTAAATAAACCCCTAAGTGTCAACACCGTTTTCCAATGACAAGTGAATTGTTCACTGTTTTTTTCTAACGTCAACTGTGTTTCACCATGTTTGGTCAAATATTGCTCTCGCTAGATCACATCGGCTAACAGACTAGCCAGCAAGCATAAGGTGTAAGATCAGCTGTTGTGTAAATTAGGTGGGAAGCCACGTTCTGCTGTCTCTTTAAAGCCCTTTCACTTAGGCGGCATCAAACCATGTCCTCTCTATTCTCAGATAGGTCTCAGAAAAAAGCCCAGACAAATAATCATAGCCATACAGCCATCTTTAAAGTGTATGCATGCAAACAAACTAAATACACTCACAGATAGTTGGCGACTTCTGTGCACTGTGCGCTTTAGCATGCGCTGACCCCTGCTCTGTCGTTTTACGTGGCCTACCACTTCGTGGCTGAGTTGCTATTGTACCCAGTTGCTTCTACTTTGTTATAATACCACTAACAGCTGACCGTGGAATATTTAGTAGCAAGGAAATTTCACGGATGGACTTATTGCACAGGTGGCAACCTATCACGGTACCACGCTTGAATTTATGGAGCTCCTGAGAGTGACCCATTCTCTCACACGTTTGTAGAAGCAGTCTGCATGCCTAGGCGCTTGATTTTATACACCACTGACCATGACGGTGATTGGAACACCTGAATCCAATGATTTGGAGGGGTGACCCAATACTTTTGGCAATATAGCCTAACAGTATACAAATAAAGACTTTTAGAAAAGTCAGTAGTTGAATAAGAATCCTTTCAAGTGCTCCAGCATGGATTTGGGTGGTGAATAGAAGCAATAATAATAAAATTATAACTCTGGAGGGAAACTGCTATGCATTACAGAAGGGAGTTTTATATTTGATTTGCTGATGACAGGTTTCATTTAAAGTTATGCGGAGGAGGATCAAAAGCTCTCTGATAAAACTCAATCAGAATCATGAGATTAAATTCTTATAACAAAATGCACTGACATGTCATCACTTCCATCACAAATACAAAGCAACAGGAGCCTTATTACTTTCGGTAAGATCGTGGGAATAGAAATAGAAATTACTTCTTTATGCCCCAGTATCCAAGTTTAGAGCACTAATACAACCTAAAATATTGAGCATTATATCTAACCTGCAAACAGCTGCTTTAAGCTTAGCCCTGATCACGAAGGGATATAGAAAAAAATCTATGCAAACCTACAAACAGCTGTTTCAGGCTTAGCCCTCATCATGAATAATCATACAGAAGAAACTGCATTTTGTGCAATAGTGCTTGGGGAGCAACAACACAGAACAGCCATTAAGGTTACCATGAAGATCTTCAAAATGACCCAAATCCTTTCTATTTTAAGATAAACTCCAGGCAAACAACTAATCAGTTGGAATACACATAAGGGACCAGTTTCCCCTGCAAAGGATTTTTATGCATATCCAATTCTGAGAGTCCTCCCAGACTTGACTTGACTATTCATTACTGCAGCTATGCATCTCATCTTGGGCACCTCATTGCCCCCAGCATGTGATTGAACAGAAGGAGCAGCAGTAGACTGATTATTTTAACCGTCTATAATTTTTTATATCTGCCTGGAGTTCAGCTTTAAAAAGAAAAAAAGTTAAAGCATTGTGGTAACTTCAAAGCAAGTGGTAATTTTGTATTGCAAACGAAAAATTTGTTACAAACTTTGCTCTTATAACTCTGCTAATACAGTTATGTCCGTATTCAAAATATCCTGCTTACTATCATCAATCACTTTATTTCTCATGCATGAAGTGCCTATTGTCTATTTATGTCTTAAATGTTCGAAGCTGTGCTCCTGAATCTGATATGTAATCACTGTGCTTAGAGCTGTTCACATTTTTTTTACTGCCTGAGCTAATATTCTGAAAAAATTCACAAAAATAGAAATACTGTAGTATTCTGAAAATTCTGGACTTATGTCATTGCTTGTAGACAGGTGGTCCACTGGTAGTGAGTTGCTGCCCTGCCTGAGATTGATGGGGTTAATACCTTATGACACCATTCCAGGGTCTGTCTTCTCGGGCTTTCTGGGCCTGACCCACTGGTCCTGTGTTGATATGAGAGACATAGGTTCAGAACAGAGCGCGCTGGAGTTCTCACTGGTTGTTACCTGCCTTTGGCCTGCCCAGTCACGCCAGAGACCTGCATCCTGAAGCCTTCCACATGTAGGGGAACTGCTACGACCTGCAGTCTGCCCTAAAACCATCAAGTCTTGGAGGCGGCCACTATATGGACTTGCCTCGTATGGACTCTCACCTGTGCAGGTATGCTGGAGCAGCCACAGCTATAGTTAGGGTAGATAGTGAAAAGGCTTGTTGCAATTTCTGGAACCTTTATGTTGAGATTCTTCAGTAAAGCTTTTGAAATTTTGCCATGGCTGGTCTGAAGTTATTCGAAAAGGGTGTATGACAGTAACCGGCACATTAACATACAGCCTTTTCAGCAAGACCATGCTTTCAAAGAAATAAAATAAAGCTGCTAGAATGGCCCAGCCAATCACCTGACTTGAATCCAATAGAAAATCTATGGAAAGAACTAAAGATTGGAGTTCAAAGAAGGGGCCCACAAAACCTTCAAGATTTGAAGACTAATTGTGTGGAAGAATGAACCAAAATCACCTCTGAGCAATGCATGCGGCTATTTTCTCCATACAGGAGGCATCTTGAAGCTGTCATTACCAACAAAGGATTTTGTACGAAGTAATAAATTTCAGTTTGTGTGTTCAATACTTTTTCCCTGTGTCATTCCATTTTATTACACAACCTAATTTCTGAACTTATTTTGATTTATTGTATGTATGGATTGCATGGGTTGATACCGACATGGTGAAAGTTTCATGTCAATAGCACCTTTAGAAAAATATTTACCAAGAAAAATGGTGACATGTTCAATACTTATTTTATCCGCTGTATATATATAGTGGAGGATATGCATTAGCAGCATATATATAGGGAAGGGGTGTATTAGGGCTTGTTCACACTTGATTTCTTTCCAAACATCCCTATAGCATTTGACGGGTGTTAGACAGGCGTTTGGGAGTGTCCCCAAATGCCCTATGTGCGGTTTTAAGGTGTTTCATAGGCGTTTTCCAAGCGTTAAAACAGCACCACAAACACCTATGATGAAGTTAATGGTATTAACACCCCACAAACGCCTTACAAACACCCCACAAATGCCTGTCAGGCGTTTGAGAAGCATCACCATAGACTTGAATAGGAGGCGTTGAATGTCTTCAACTCCTTCTGACTGGACATGAGGCCTCAATTTTGCCGCGACGCAATGCTAACGCTTCAGCGTGAACAGCACTGTGTGCTGCCATGTGTATAATTTTCATAGGTGTTTGAGGAGCGTTACAAACGCCCCTCAAATGCCTGCAAAATGCCTGCTTACAGAGCTAGTGTGAACTAAGCCTTACAGTTTCA